TATTAATACACAAGAGGTTACAAATGTAAACATTCGTTATTTTTCAATATTACAAAGTTGATCTTTAAATCTGAAAGAAAATATCAGATTTAGTCTATCGAATTTAATGCCGTGCACACGATAAAAGGCAAGTGAGAATAAGGAGCAATTGCACAGAAACTAGCTACGCAATTGATTCTTTTAAAAATGCAATTTATAGTAATAGCATTAAAAAAATTTGGAAAGAATATTTAGACATATATTTGTCTCTCTGTAAACATAAAAAAAATGTTAACAGTATATCGAAATGTTTGATAGTAAAAAAACACTGCAGTATTCAGTAACGGTGCAATCAGATCGGCGATAAAATCTTTTTCCACTGCAGATAGATATTTCATGTGTATATTCATAAATATTTGGTTTCAATCAGAGAAAATAAATTTAGCACGATAAAGACAAATTTATACTCACGCATGAGTGATATACTATTCTCTGCTTCTTACGGAGTTGGCGTATTGGTTACGGCGGGCGAAGCGATACCGGAAACCGAGAACGAAGCTTCTCTGATAGAACTTCTCGACGAGTTCGTTCGAGACATGATTAAGATCGCGTATCGTATCTACCGATCGTCAAAGATCGAACTTTCAGCGACGCCACTCGATTCGTGCCCCCTTGATTCGTTAATTCCATTCCACCGCTTGCGTCGACGCTGATAGAAAGGAAAAAAAAGGAAAGAAATCGCCGAACCGAGGGAACGACTTGGAAACTTCACTGCAAACTCAATCTTCGGGATTACCTATACTCTCGCGGTCTCTTTCATATAAACTCTTCCGGCGGGAATGGCCCGCCGTATGTATCTTCTACAGCACATACTGTCTCTGTCTCTCTGTTTCTTTTTTCCTTTCACGGCCAGATTTCGCGGGGATAAATTACTTCCCGAGGATTATTCGATGTCACGGCGCTCCTTGCGTTCCGCGGATTTCGTACGCGCGTTAACGTCTGGCTGAAATAAAACCGCGATACCGGAGATTTTCTTGTCAGCCGCGGCGGCGCACTAAACATACGCGTAAAGGAACTGCAGAGAGGAAATGCCAGCATCTACTTCCGCCGCCGTGATCGCGCTTCTCGTGCGCTTTCCATTCTTCCTCGTTTTCTCTCCGCATGGCTTATCGATCCGACCTTATTTATATGGCGCATGCCCGATCGCGCAAATATACCCAGCGTCGTTGAGACAGAATGAATTTTGCCTAAATCGTAAAATCGATACCTACCAAGGACACACTCAGCGCTATGATGGCGAAAGTATGATGAAGTGGGATAAGTATATATCTTATATATACCGTGTCATATTTTATTTATTCCTTCGACCAAATCTGAGAAAATTTTCTCTAACAATAAGTAAAACTAATTAGATTTTTTTTCCACAACTTTTTAATTATATAATACACGTAGTAGTTTCTGTGAAATGTATCGTTTTATTTTTAAAAATTGTTTTTGTCAAGTATCTTTAGAATGAAGATTTATAATAAAATGGAAAATTATTTTAGCTTACATTACTTTTGACAGTAAAAAGAGAAGTCAGTGATTTATTTCGATATATAACTTATTTAATTTGTAATATCTATAACTTTATAAATGTTCTAAATTCGTGATAATTGTGAGATGATTGTAGTACATATATTTTGAGAGAGAGAGAAATATAATTATATAATGGATAAAAAGGCAAGAATAGTCACATGCTATAATTATCTAATGCTTATCGGAACTTACATATAGTTAGTTCTAGAAGCTGGAATGACCGATACTGGGACGAGTTTTTCAAATACAAAGCGAAAATACTTAGCTAAGATTCGCGAACTTGTTAGCAATACGTTGAAACCTTATCGCAATTCGATTGTCGCACTCGGACAAGAAGGGCAGGGAAGGAAGGGGAGCTATTTTCGGTTTTATCTGTGCCAGTTATAAAAGAACTGGGATTTTGCTAGCATGTATTCAGGCCAGTCAACGGGGACCGACTTTACGGGCAGGAACTTTCAATAAGATCCGCGGTCCTCCTCGAAACGTGCTGAACCTGCCTCACGTATATGGAAGTGAATCCGAGTCGTGCCGTCGGCATGCTCGTTCGCATGGAAACTTACACGATCGTCGAATCGAATTCCAAATTCTTTATCCCGGCCTTCCTAACCGTTGTCTGCGTCGTCGGCCACCACCGAAATCCGACCCTTAACTTCAATGTGCAACCTCCACCTTCTTTCTTTACATCGCTTCGGTATATAACTATCGCACAGATTTATGAATTTTTCTTCGATACATATCGATGCACTCTTCCTGCGTAGAATTTCGTACGCCGAAGAAAATTCCGCCAATGCAAATTTCAATTCAAATAATTTTCTTTTGCACCAAATACTATTTCGAAGTTTTTAAAAGTCACATTTGTTCCTTGTAAGATTTCATTACATTTCCCAACGTAGACAACGAGAAGATATCGCAAAAAGTGCATTTGCACTCGTTTAAATTATTTTCGTTTTTAAACTGTGATTGTATATGATATAATATGTCGTATAATTGATTTTATAACAAACTTTAAAATAAATAAAAAAAAAATATATATATATATATATATATATATATATATATATATATATATATA